GAAAATAGGGTTGATTTGAAGATAAAATTCAAAATCGATTTGAAATAATCGATTAAATGAAGTGTTAATCGATTATTACGAAACCAAAATCAACGGAACCACGAAACTCTCTGTTTTAATCGATTAAAAGAGTCTGTTAATCGATTAACGGGCCTGTTAATCGATTAACGGGTGGTTTAATCGATTAAACCGGTGAGTCGATACGAGAAAATGGTTTTTCTCACTCTTTTAATCGATTATTTCCCTATTTAATCGATTAAAGCCGAGTCTGGATGATTAATTTGAGCTTTTTGAAGCTTCTAAGGTACAAACTATGTACCGGTTATCTTAAACTCTAATATTACAGACTCAATCTAATTGAAACAGAGTCATTACAATACAAAACAAGTCTTCAACACTCTAAGTCTTTGAGTTCTTGAATCATCATCAAAATCAACAATCTTCATGTTCATCAAGTGCAACATCAAGTCCTTGAATGTTCAACGAGAGGTAATATATATATATATATATATATATATATATATATATATATATATATATATATATATATATATATATATATTATGATGTACATTACATAATTCAAAATTTAGTAAATTTTAAAATAAAAATATATTTATTATAAAATATATAAATAAATTTTTAATATTGTGTTCTCTTCTGTCCCAAATTTTTTTTTTACAAAATAAGCGACATAAAAACTTAATTTCTTGTTATTTTAATAATTGTCATAGAATACATTAAAATTGAACTTTTAAAATTTTAATAATTTTATAATTTGTTTAATATATTTTTATCGCGATATGAACTAATGGTACATTTGGTTGGCTAAAACAAGCAATGATATATATTTTTTTTAAAGTAAAATAAGAAGTAAAAAAAAATCTAAAAAAAACAAAAAAAAATTAAAAAAAAAAACACTCTCTATTATATAACTACGAAAATTTAAAACTAGCTATTAAAGTTTTATTTGATTTTTTAAAACTTTTTTCATGTCTTTAAAATTTTTTCAAATAAAATGTAATATTATAATTTAAACTATATTATTTTTTAGGAATCAATAAGTTATTATTTTAAACTATTAAATAAAAAATAGTAAACATTTAAAAACAAGTTTCTAATTATCATTATTGAAATAAATGAATTTCCTAATTGTTTAAATTATATATAGAATAATATTATAATTTTCAAAACTTATTTCTTCTATATCCATCATAATTATACTTTTTTATTATACTATTTTAAAATATATTAAAATAATTAAATAAATAATATTAAAATAATAAATAACATGGTTAATAATAATATAAACGTATTTTATTTTCTAGTTTTTTATTATGGAAAACATTTTACTTTTTTTTATTTCTATTATTTTTTGTTACACTTCTCGTGATGATCTATCCAAACTAAATATAAATATATCAAATAGAGTGAATATTTTAGTTTCTAATAAAAAGTTAATTTTTTATATTCAATCTATCTTCAAATATTCATCCTGTTTCAATATGATATATTTATTAACTGAATCAAATTATTTCAGCAAAATTATTTAAAATAATACGATTTTTAGAATAAAAATAATATATTTGTTATAATGTTTAATTTGTAAATGAATTTAAATTGCATATGTCATAAATAAAAATTTATAGTAATTTCCTTTCAATATATTTCCTTGTTACTAAAACTGAATTTCAGTGTTTTGTCACTTGTTATGGAAACATGTTATCTTCTAAAACACACTATCCACATTCCACAATTGTAGAATAAATCCTTAGCAAGTGCTCACTATCCAAGCAAGTCTTTGAATTTTCTTTTCATTCTCAAATTTCATGCTCTAACACACTAAGGTTAGGGTCTGTCTCTTTATCTTTCTCTCTCTTTTATTTTTAACCTTCACACACTTTCTTTCTCTCTCTCTCTTCACCAGAACAAAATATATAACACCCTCATCAGCGATCCTTAACTCTTCCCTCACTCACTCACTCTTTCTCTCTTCCTTCAAACAAATAGCCAAAGGATCATTCAATTCAACATTAGGGGAGCACTATGGACCCTGACGTCATCGAGATTCCTCCCCCAATTCACCAACCTTCAAATTTCTATCACAACAACAAGGCAAGCTCCTGCCACCGATTCAAAGTTTTTATTTTGTATTGTCTGGAATTGTTGGAGGTGTTTAATCAATCGTGTTTCCACTGATGGGGGTCTTCAATTTGTTCAAAGTTATGATCTTTTTGAAAAATCCTTATCCGGGTCCTCACTTTTCAGCCATGATCGTGTTGTTTTGTGTTTTTAGTTTTGTTTTCTGTTGTGTTTTTTCTATAGCACAATTTCGCCCTTTTCTGCTATTGAGTACCTGCTTTTGCTGTTGTTAAGACCACCTTTTCGTGTTTGTTGCTGCATGTGGGGTTTGTTATTTATTGAAATGGAACGGGTTTAGTAGTGACGTGTGCTTTCTGACATTGTAATTTTTTTCCTATGTTATGGATTGTGTGTTTCTCTTATCTTCTTCTTTTCCTTTTGGGTCTTCATTTGATGATCACGATGTTGTTAACCCCAAGGGATTGGAGTTTAGGGGCTTTTGTTGTATTCCTTGGAATGTAAGGGTCTATGCTATAAATAGCCTTTAGGTAAGAAATAGGTAAAGATTTATGTTTAAATCTTTTTGTAATTTTAGTCAGTTTATAACCTTTTCTTCTCCTTGTTGTTATCAGAGTACCTAAGAATAGATGTTAATTTGATTGAGAAACTTCCAAATCACGCAGTTGTTTCTTCTCAGGTTGTTCTATTATGGCGATATGTGCGTGCTATGCATGTGAATTGCTGGTGATATTTTTTGGTATGATTTAGAGGGATAATAATGTTATGTGAGCTATGCTGTGAGGGAAAATTGGTAGGGGGTTGGTGTTTATGGTTGGCCCTATTTCATTGGGCCTTCAAGGATAATTTTGGTACAGTGTAATTTTTGTGACAGAGATTGATTTTGTGTCTAATGCATTTCCCAGTATACTGTCTCAAACCATAGAAAAATGAAACAGTTATTTAGCTGATTTTGTTCACACATGGTCTATTAGTTTACTTACCTTTCTCCTTCTAACTCGAAATTGCACCTCGTCATCAGAATAGACCAATTTGATCTAGTGAGTAGCAGATAAATTAAATCACTCTCTTAATTGGTTAGGGGCTTTTTAATGAAACAGTAATATCTCATTGTTAGATGTTTAAATCAAGACAGTAGAGCTTATATATGCATGCTAATAGGGTTTTATGTTCATCGTTGTGGTTATTCTGTTTATCTCACCTTAGTTTTCCCTTAAATGATGAATTTGATATTTCTGTACTAATTTCCTGTCATACACACACACACACACACGCATATATTATTTTATCCTCTGATTGTGAAATGCCACTGTTTATTTGTTACCATTAGATACGATGAACTTGTCAATCCCTACTATTGTGTCATTTATGTGCAAGTCTGTTGCGAATGAAATGTTCCTACCTCCAAGCCCCTGCACATTGGAAATTGTGGGATCAAACAGCTTGTGACTTGGGTAGCACTATTCTTTTTCTTTTAATTAGTTAATTGTTTTTGGAATTTTAGTTGCCTTAATTTTTCTGTTCTGCCGTTTCCTATGTGTAAATAATTACATTATTCTGTCGTTCAAGCTATGAATGTGTGTAACTGTTGAGTCGCTGTGGTTAACCTGTAACATGGTACAGTATGTACTCTTGTTTTAGTCATAACATAAGCAAAAGTGATTTGGGAAAAGTAAATGGGCATTTAGTGAGGAATCCCTTTCTACAACAGAATAGATTCATTTTACATTTTCCTCTACTGTATGAGGTTTTTGACTTGAGAATTTTCTTTTAGTAACTTCACCATAATATGTTTGATTAAGTTGATTTGAATTTTTCATTATTACATATATGTTCCCTTTATATTGGAAACCTACAAAAACCTCTCACTGACAGGGTAAAATTTTGGACAACTAAAGAAAAATAAATGGAGGTTTCTGTAGGTTTACATAGGTGTAATATCAGTTTGCGAATGCCTGTATTTATTTTCAGGATATAGAGGAGATTTTGTTTAAGAAGACTCCGTGTGTACTATTGTTTTTATGAAGCTACCACCAGTATGTTCAGAAATCAGGATCCAATTTAACCTTGAGCCTGTTTGATTGAAATTTACACGAATAAGTTGCTGTAATTATATTTCAATTTTCAAGTGAATGGTACACATGGACAAATATTAACCACTAGCTGTTAAAGGATGCTGGTGCTGTCACAAAATGGAAGAATACCTGCACAGCTCTTATGTCTAATTAGAGTAAAATTAAAGGGAGATTGTTATACCATGTTTTGTTTTTGGTTTTGTTCAGTTTGAAAATTACACAAGCACTGCTGTTCTCTTTGATATATTTTCTGCTCTATTATTGATGTTTGTATTTAATGAATGTTTCGATGAGTCTACCTTTTCTTACTAATATATAATACTTTATTTTTACTTTCTAGGTCAATTTGCATGATGTGATTGACATTGACAATGATGATGATTCTGAGGATGTAGTGATAATTGGCGAGAAAGTTAATAATAGTAACAAAGGGAAGACAATTGATGCTGTTCATGATGATATCCAAGTTGTGGTTTGTATAAGATTTGTTTTGTTATTTCTTGCATCAGATGGACAATATCTTTTCCAACATGAAGATAACTCTAACGTTTTACTTGAAATCCTTTTCAGAATATGTCTGATTATACTTTCTCTGTGCCTGGTGCGGAAAATTTTGGATCAGTTAGCGGGATTGCATCTTCTAACAATCTCCCTTCAGTGTCAAATAATTTGATCAATGTTGATGGTCATGGTTCTGATCTATCATATGATGATGATGACTACAGTGATATTTTGTCGGAAGAATATATGGATGTAGAGATGGATGTAGATGAGTATGCATTATTACAGAAACGTTTTGATAATGTGGATATACCTCCTGGAATTGAAGCACCTTTTACTTGGTTTCCACCAGGATATGATGTAGGTTTTAACAAGACTGGAAATAGTACATTTTATCCTTGGCATCATATGCAGTCAAATGCTGCATTAAGTCCCATGGTCCCCTCTTCTCAGCCTTCTGCGTCATTAGAGCCAACTAATTCTAAAATTCAAGCATCTTCAATGGGTGGTACTGACATTCAAATGAAAATGGATAATGTTAATCACTCCTCTGGAACAGACTTGTCTTCTCCTCAATTTTTTTCTCAATCTGCCCCATCTAAGAAGAAATCAGCTACTTCAAAACTCAGAGGGCGTACTTCAAATAATTCAGTAGGAGTAGAATCATCAAAGTCTCACTGGTTTTCGGGGCCTTTCTATAGTAAAAAGAAGCAATACCTCAGTTTATTTGACAATTTAGAGTCTGTGAAGCTGCAACATGCAGGTCAGCCACCATATGGGGGCCAATTTCAAACTGCTATGAAGGCAGCTGGTAGTAGCATTTCCTCCCATTCAAATTTTATTGGACACCATGGATCATTGCATATTCCGGGGATAGAACCAGCAAAACCTTGGTGGAAGGTTTCTCAAAATGCTAAATCATTTCCTATTCATGATAAAAAGTCTTCTAATATTGTTTATCATCCACTTGATCCTCTTATTGCCCATCCTGATCATGGATTTGATATCTGGGTTCACGATTCTGCTGGAGATGGATTTAATGGAAAAACAGTGGATGGCCCTCTTGTGACAATGTCGGATGAAGCCAGAGAAGAAATTATGAGGAATTTTCGAAGTTTTAAACAATTTGACACTGTTGAGGACACTTCAGATCATTACTTTGTCCGCAACAGTTCTTCAATGAAGCAGGTAAATCTTTTGAAGTGCTTTCTGTTTTGGTTTGTGCTTAATTATTTGGGTTTACCATGAACCTATTTCTTGAACAGCCACCAAAGAATTGGGCTAAAAAAATCCAGGAAGAGTGGAAGATTTTGCAGAAGGATCTGCCAGGTGAGTTTGTTTCAGTATTCCTGCTTTAAAATAGCTGTACTATTTTCCTTGCCTCATCCAAAGAGCATTTAGTGCTTATTAACCTTTTTCTTAGAAGGTTCCGGATACTTGTTCTTAAACTGATAGTTAAACATAGAAATAACTGTAAATATGTTCTGGATACAAAAATGTGCTACCTGCCGGTGGCATTGTGTTGAATCTCTTACTTCTTTGACTCTTCCGGTTGTCCCTCTCAGATTCAATATTTGTCAGAGTTTATGAGTCAAGGATGGATCTTCTAAGGGCTGTGATTATTGGAGCTGAAGGGACTCCATATCATGATGGCCTATTCTTTTTTGATGTTTTCTTTCCCAGTGGCTATCCCAGTGTACCACCGGTATGTGGTTGGGAATACTGTATCTGATTGACAATATTTTATCATTCATACTTATTAGATGAAGTCTGACACAAGGAGCATATTTAATTGCAGCAAGTCCATTACCACTCTGGAGGTCTACGGCTCAACCCAAATTTGTATAATTGTGGAAAAGTATGCCTTAGTCTGCTTAACACCTGGAGCGGCAACAAAAACGAGAAGTGGCTTCCTGGTGTTTCAACGATTCTACAGGTTCTGGTCTCCATACAAGGTCTAATCCTGAATACAAAGCCCTACTTTAATGAACCTGGATATGCACACATGAGTGGTTCAGCAAATGGTGAAATGATGTCCTTTCAGTATAACGAGGACACATTCATTCTATCATTGAGGACAATGATGTATATGATACGAAGGCCTCCAAAGGTTTGATTTCTAGTCCTGGTTTAATTTTTTGTATCTCTGGCAAGGTTGCTTTGCTGTGTTCATTTGTAATACCTAGTTTATCTTCTATTTTCTAGTTTATCTTAGTTCATGTGTAGTATGTCTCTAGCACTAGTATCTTCTTACCTTGTTCTATTTAGATTTTTGAACATATTTGTGCTTTTGTATTTTGTTGAGCTTAACTATTATTGCAAATCATCAATAATGATGCTTCCTTTGTCCTATCAAAATATGCCCACGGCCCACTACATAAATGATCTTTGGAAAATGGTAGTAATGATTTGAATGAAAGAATAAGTAAAGAGCTGTAACACCCACACCCACACATAATCGAAATGATTATTCTCTCAAACATGTTTCTCTTTTCCAATATTTTGGGGCTCAAAACTTAAATGTTCAATGTCATATATTTGGTTTCAGAATTTTGAGGATTTTGTTAAGGGGCATTTCTGCAGCAGAGCTGGTGATATTCTGGTGGCATGTAAGGCATACATGGAAGGTGCTCAAGTTGGGTGTTTGGCCAAAGGAGGAGTCCAGGACGTTGATGAGGGAGACAGAAGCTGTTCACAGAGATTCAAGGATTCTTTATCCGGATATATAAACATGCTTGTCAGAGAGTTTGCTCAAACTGGAGCAAAGGACATTGAGAAATTCCTACCTCCTCCAGTAGCCACAACAGTAGCACTGGACAAGCCATCAGGTGTTGTTGCTTGAGGCCGCAACCTGAACTGAACATTCTGTTGGATAAACCAAATTTTGAGACTTGATTGATACATATACATACAACAAAACTATACTCAGTACATCTATTTCACCTAATGGCGCCCTTATTGTTTAATGTTAAATAGTTTGACTCTTGTTATGTGCTCTTGTTTTCGTGAACATAGAACAATGCCTGCTCATAATTGTATATAGTTGCAAATAAAAATATAATGTCTTGCAAGTATGACATACTAATAGTCCTGATCATATTATTCTAACTGTGTATGCTTGTTTTGTTTTGTTTGTTTCATTCATATTGGGCAAAAGGGTTAGCAAATTTGTAAAGGGTTGTTTTAATTTCATTTAATAGCCACCACCCAAAACCAAAAAACTGAAAAAAAGGGTTAAATATCTTGTTTTATTAATCTCAATAGCTGTTGGAGATCCTACAACTCTTGGAAACCACTTCAACCATTAAGAAACGGGAGTATTGGATCAGTTTTGAATATTTAATATCAGATTTTGGATTTTCATATATTTTCTGATGGTTCTGGTTTTGATCACTTTTCAAACTTGGATTTAAAAATGTTAATTGATCTAGAGTCTTTCCACTTTCTAGAAAAAAATTTCCATAAGCACATGGATGGTGAACCATTTCCCTAAATGAAGTTGGATTCCATTATATGGAGCTCTTTGTCTCTTCAACCGTTGCTACTGCAAAGAAATATCCTTCAAAGTGTAAGCTCCACAATTTTTAGAACTATTAACATGTCTGAAAGAGTTAGACTATTAACGTGTTGAACGAGTTTTTTTCATAAGTATATTTGAAAGGAAAATAAAATTAATTTTTTTCTTCAGTTAAACTTGATTTGTGTTAAAAATAAAATTTAATTTATACTAATTAGCTCTGTATAAAATAATTTTAGTTTATCAAAAAAATTAATATTTTTCTTATATTTCATCTTAAAAGTAATTAAAATAGCATCATCATTGTTGAATATAGAAGAAATAGAGTTTGAGATTAATCTCCTTTGTGTATAAATCACACATAGGGTAGTCTATTTATAGTAGAGAGATACAACTAAAAGAATAACTGAAAGTAACAGAATAAACAGAAGATATTGTTTGATATTGTGGTTAACAATATCAAATAATATCTAAACAATATCTAACATTCCCCCTCAAGCTGGAGCATACAAATCGTATGTGCCAAGCTTGTTACAAATATAATCAATTCTAGGACCCCGTAAAGATTTAGTAAAAATATCTGGTAACTGATCACTTGAGTTAACAAACTCAGTCTTGATGTCTCCAGACATAATCTTTTCTTGAATGAAATGACAGTCAATCTCAATGTGTTTGGTCCTCTCATGAAAGATAGGATTAGAACTAATATGAAGAGCAGAGTCTGATTGTCACACACAAGTAACATTTGAGTGACATCTCCAAATTGTAGCTCTCTAAGTAATTGTTTGAGCCAAACAAGTTCACAAGCAGCTGAGGTCATAGCTCTATATTCTGCTTCTGCACTAGATCTTGTCACAACACTTTGTTTCTTACTTTTCCATGAGACCAAGTTACCACCAATAGAGACACAATATCATGATGTAGATCTTCTATCCGAAGGAGATCCTGCCCAATCAGCATCTGGGTAGCAAACAACTCTTGTATGGTTATTAGAATCATATAACAACTATTTTCCAGGAGATCCTTTAATATACTTTAAGATACGAATGACTGCATTCCAATGATCTTCACATGGGGAATTAAGAAATTGGCTTACCACACTGATCGCAAAGGAAATGTCGGGACGAGTAATCGTAAGATAATTCAATTTTCCAACCAATCTTCTATACTTGCTCAGGATCGGTATAAGCTCCCCCTGATTTGGTAGAAGTTTAGTATTGGGATCCATGGGTGTATCAACAGACTTTGAATTCATCAACCCAGTTTCCTCCAAAATATCCATGGCATACTTCCTCTGAGATATAACAATACCATCATTGGACTGTGCCACCTCAATACCCAAGAAATATCTAAGTTTGCCAAGATCTTTGGTCTGAAAATGATGACAAAGATGTTGTTTCAACTGAGAGATGTCATGGTTGTCACTACCTGTAAGAACGATGTCATCAACATATACTATCAAGTAAACACATCCAGCACTTTAGTGTCGATAAAAGACAGAGTGATCTGCTTCACACTGAGTCATACCAAATTGTTGAACAATCTTGCTAAACTTTCCAAACCAGGCTCTAGGAGACTGTTTTAGGCCATATAGAGATTTGCGAAGACGACATACCATCCCAGAAGACTCCCCCTGAGCAACAAACCCAGGAGGTTGCTCCATATAGATTTCTTCTTGCAAATCACCATTGAGGAAAACATTTTTAACATCTAGTTGATAAAGAGACCATTGTTGAAGAGCGGTCATGGCGATAAATAAACGAACAGAAGTCATCTTTGCCATAGGGGAAAAGGTATCTCCATAATCCAACCCAAAAATTTGAGTATAACCTTTGGCCACAAGACGAGCTTTGAGGCGATCAATAGTACCATCAGGTCCAACTTTGATAGCAAACACCCACCTGCAACCAACAACAGATTTCCCAAACGGTAATGAGACCAATTCCCAAGTTCCACTATTATGAAGAGCACTTAGTTCATCTAACATGGCCTGACGCCAACCAGGATGGGCTAATGATTCACGGACAGTTTTTGGAATGGTCACAGAAGAAAGAGAGGAAAGACATGTATAAAAAGGTAATGACAGTCGATGATAACTTAAACCAATATAATGGGGAGAGGGATTACGTGTAGAACGGATACCTTTTCGGAGGGCAATGGGAAGGTGAAACTCAGGTGTCACATCCGGAGGAGACAGAGTAGTTGGCACTTGAGTAGAGTCACATGGTGGTGGTTGTAATTGGTTTCGGCAACTATAAACCTGAAGAGACAGTGAAGAAGAAGCTGATTGCGGAGTAGAAACTAATGGTGAAGAAGACACAGTTAGAGGGTCACAAACAACATGAACATTAAATGTACTAGGAGTGTTGACAAGATTGGATGGAGAAAGAGGTGAAGATTGACTTTTAAAATAAAAAGAGAACTCATCAAAGGTGACATCTGCAGACACAAAATAATGGTTAAGAGAAGGAGAAAAACATTTGTATCCTTTTTGTGATCTTGTAAACCCTAAGAAAACACATTTATGTGATCTAGGAGAAAGCTTGTCAAGACCAGAACTGAAATTATGAACAAAACATGTAGACCCGAAAACTTTTAAGAGGTAAGGGATGAAGTGGTTCATGAGGGAATAAAATGGAATGAGGTATTTTATTATCTAAAACCAAAGATGGCATGTGATTAACAAGATAACATGCAGTAAGAAGAGCATCACCCCAAAAATGCTGAGGAACCTCTCTATGAATTAAAAGAGTGCGAGTTGTTTCAATAAGATGTCTATTTTTACGTTCAGCTACACCATTTTGTTGAGGTGTATAAGCACAAGAAGTTTGATGTAAAATACCATAAGAAGCCATGAATTGTTTAAAAGAATGAGAAAGATATTCACGACCATTATCACTGCGCAAAACTCTAATAGAAACACCGAACTGAGTTTGAATTTCATTGAAAAAAGTTTGAAAGATATGAAATAATTCAGAATGATTTTTCATCAAAAATAACCAAGTGCATCTGGAATAATCATCAATGAAAGTAACAAAGTATTGAAAACCTAAAGTAGACTTAACGCGGCTAGGTCCCCAAATGTCAGAGTGAACCACGGCAAAAGGGGACGAAGCACCACGTGTGACACTATGAGGAAAGGAAATACGATTATGTTTGCCTAATTGACACGACTCACATGTCAAACTAGACAATTTAGATAAGGCAGGGACAAGTTGTTGTAACTTGGCAAGACTTGGATGACCTAACTGAGCATGGAGAAGAGAGGGAGACTTTATAATTGCACCAACATGTGTAAAGGGACGAAGATGATAAAGACCATGAGACTCACATCCTGTGTCAATCACCTGTTTCGAACTCTGGTCCTATAAACACACAGAATTGTTGGTAAAAGAAACAACACAATCAAGACAACGAGTTAAACGACTGATGGATAACAGGTTAAAAGGAGACCCAGGGACATAAAGAACATTATCAATGGTTAAAGAAGGGAAAATTTTAACAGTTCCAACACCATGAGATGATACTCTAGAGCCATCAGTCAGTGTAACAAAAGGTAAAGGATCAGGAGAGGATAAAGAGGAGAACAAAGATTTATTACCAGTAATATGATCAGTGGCTCCTGAATCAAAAACCCAAGGACCAGAAGAAGATTGGGTCAGACCAGCAAAAGATGTACCTGTGTGTGCGACAGACACAGTGGAACTAGAAGACTGTTGATCCTTATACCATTTGAGAAATTTGTTGAACATAGCAGGTGTGTCTGATGAAATAGAAGGACGATCCTTAGCAGATAAAGGTGGGGAAAGATTAGTCTGAGCAACTGCAGCAGATCGAGGAGGACGACCATGTAATGCATAACACTTGTCAATCTTGTGACCTAGTTTGCCACAATGTTCACACTCATGTAATGCATAACACTAGTCAATCTTGTGACCTAGCTTGCCACAATGTTCACACTTAGGACGCCTTTTTCCCTATTTGCGAGGGCGAGTTTGGTCATCACGGTGAGATACCAATGCAGAAACAGGTGTGTCAGGGTTGGGTTTTGCTGGTATACGCAAAAGAGTGGAGCAGGTCGATGTCAAGGTGGGGACAACCGGAGAACCCAAAATCTGATCACGAATATGTGAATATTGATCAACAAGTCCGTGTAATGCCCCTAACATGAAGAATTTTGATCGTTGTCCTATCTCGGTGGCAGGGTCAGGGGAAGGAGGCAATAACTCATTGAACTCATGAAAAAGAGCATGAATTTTGCCCATATAATCAGTCATAGAATCTTGATGTTTAGAGGCAATAACATCTACAAATTTAGAACAGAC